TTTGACTTTCAACACACTTACCGCTTCTATTACGGATGGTCATAATTACGTTCACAAATATACACAATTGAATTTATATGAGCTGAATTTGAAATCTCCCTCAATAAAATAGAGATAAAAAGTTAAATTAACTCTTTAGACGTAACATATTATACACATATTTTTTCATATAAAATATCATCCTTTTCTTTCTTTCTTTCTTTCTTTTTATCTTTTTGTTTTTCTTATAGCAAAAATGCGTGAATAAGGAAGAAACCAGTTAGGCCTCTCTCCACGTGACAACGCATAGCTTGGCTAGTTATGACTCCATCCATGAGCCACTATATTGAATCTCTTTCAACAAGAATTGACTGCCTCCCTCGTAAATCTTTATCACATTTTGCCCCTTTGAATCATTGAAAGACTATTTGGTGAACAAAACGTATTAAATTCTCCATCAACGTATCATGTAAGGATTCAATCATAATTAGTGGCAGATTTAAGGGTTTAATTCATCACAATAGTTATAAATTTATACAACTTGAATTGCAAGTTCTTTTATACAAACAATATTTTAGGAGAACGAAAAACGTTAAGTGCAACAGTAACTGCACTTAACCATTTAAGGAACAAACTCTTTGTTAAGCATGCATCAAAGCGATATATCCAGTTGAAACATAGTAAAATTTCAATCAGAAAATATGTAGTTGTGTGCAAGTATCATATTTGGCACTAAAGACAACAAAGTTGCCCCAATAAAATGTGAAGCATGCCTAATAATTTGGTTGATATGACTTCATGAATCAAAGTAAAAGCCAATATGATTGCCACACCATAACTGATTGTCAAACTAAACTAAAAGGAGTGTTTATCTATACACCATAAAATTCTACTTTTTAATATATCGATTGGATCCAGACCCCTGAAAAGGAAACTGCATACCATTTACAGCCTCAAATGTCTTAAAGTGAATGAACATAAGAACACCTTAGCTACAGAAAGTAATTCTCAATAAAATCAAAGTGAAAATTTTGTAGTAGGGACATGACATGGTGGAGGAGATGGGTTTGCTTTGTTTCTGGGTCAACTCTTTGACTTTGAGTTCATGTTGGGTTTGGGTCAACCTCAGTAGGCTCAGTTCAACTATGGCCCATAAAAATGGGCTCACCTCAAGTGTGCAGCCCAACCACATTTCACTCCAGTTCGGCCCAGTATGATTTCTTTGTTTTCTGGTTTTTTTTTTTTTTTTTTAAATCGGTGATTTGTTTTCTGGTTTGTTTGAATAAAACTAAATTATATGACTTGTTTGCCTTATAATATTTAACACATTTATTTGAAAAATACGATGAAAATTTTGAAAGATTCTTAGACACCTATTACGTATCAATTATCATATATATATACGGATTCCAGAAAAAAAAAAAAAAAAAAATTGTGAATAGTCAAATGTACTCAACCCGATTCTGGGATTTATAGGCCCAAATTAGCTAGCGAGATTCTTACTACAGATATTACGTGTCAATCATATGTAATTTCTTGTACATAATCCTATATATTTTTTATATCAAATATGTTTTATGAGGAAAAGTATAATTATATATATATACACAGTATCTTTCCAGTAGTTGAACAAGATTAGAATCCATATAATCCAATTAACCTAATTTGTTGCTTTCTAAGGACTTCTCCAACCTATTTGGTCATAAACCCAAATTTTTCTCTTTCGAAAAGTATCAATTTGGGTTTTGCCCAAATTCAAATTGTTTTTCCCCCAACCCTTTATACTCAAATTTTAAGTCCGTAACTTTATTAAATTGTTTAAGAATAGCTTAAGTTTTTTTTTTTTTTACTTTTCTTCATTTAATCTTTTTAAATAACTTCATAATTTATTTTATTTTTTTAACAATTTTACCTAAAAAAATTGAAATTCCATAAATATAATTTTATTCGAGAAATAGGTGGGTATTTATAGAGTTTGGAGTAAGTTTTGGGATTTGATATAATTTAGATTAATTTAAAATATTATTTTAGTCATTGGATTCTTTTTATTTTACCGTCAAAATAGCTTGGATATAATATGGATCTTTGATTTGGGTTATTGTTGGATTTTAAATATATAAAATAAGTGTGGCGACACTAGCAAGCAACACATGGTGCTCCATTGATTCCTCCTTACACATGGATTGCGTTAGCCTTGAGTGGGCTCTACCAAAAAGATTTCCAGTCGAGGCAATAGCTGGATTGGTATTTGGCCTTTTGGGTTTTTCCAAATTTTAGACCCTTACTTTTTTCTTTTTTTTGTGAATTTGAGAGATAAATTGGGCTAAAATTTTGGATATTTTGAGTTTAGCCACATGGGTTGGAGATGGCCTAATGTATTTCTCAGAATTAGTCACATGTGATATTTGTCTAAATTGAACAGGACTAAGTCATTGCTAATTCTTATCGACTAGTGGGGTAATTTCATGGATTATTTTGTGCACATAAGGAAAAAAATTGGGTGTAAATCGTCACAATACCACATTATATGTTATTAATCCATGTGCTATAAATATAGGTGGACGACGTGAGGTTGTTACACTATGCTGACACTATCAATCATGTATTAATTGTTGACAACTTAAGTGATCAGATGATTTGAGTTCATCATATGCCACTTAACATCAATGACTATCCTTTTACACTCAAATAGACTCTGCTGAAAATTGATTAAGGAGCATCAATATTGCAAATGGAAATGCTATTTATCTATCTATATATATATTGTATAAAATTAAATTGAAAAACCCAATGTGACTGGCATGTAATTATGAAAACTCACAAATTCGTGTTAATATATAAATAACTAATTAGTACGTGTGTATGATGAGATACTAGCTAGGATTATATATGATGGATCTTTGAGTATCCTTGTAGATCCCATGATTATTTTAAGGATCGATATTAGATAAATATAATCCCATAATTTTACCTTTTAGTTACTATTATTAGACGAACCAAATCTTGATGACCTGGAGAGGATTATCGTGAATCTCTAAGGAGTGATCAGAAAAGATCAGAAAAAAAATAAAAAGAAAAGAAAGAACCAATATTAGAATCAAAAATCAAAAGAGAAGAATGTTCCTGGTAGCCAATATCATTATCATATCGTGTATATATCACAAATACCTAAAAAGATGACGAAATATCTGTGAACAAATTGATTTTTTCCTGATTTCCCTTCACTTGTTTGCTCATATATATTGTATAGGGTTTGTGGGTTTTGAGAGATTTGAGAATGGTTACTGCCTCTGCTACTGCTTCTGCTTCTGCTTCTTCTTCAGCAGCACCAATATTAATGGGGTGGGATGGTGATGAAAAGCCACATGTTTTGGCTGTTGATGATAGTTTTGTGGACCGCAGAGTCATTGAAAAGTTACTCACCAACTCTGCATGCAAAGGTGACATATACATATAATATGCATGTATAAAATGTTCTTTCTTTTTCATATTTACCTTCCGGTGCAGTGAGTGAGTTTAGTATATTATCGCATTTTCAATAAGAAATGTTCTTTCTTTTTCTTCTTGACCTTTTCTCCTCCAAACTATTTTATTATATATGTTCTTCTTTGCAAGTTTGAAAAAAAATGTGCATAACTTTGTATCGAGTTTATGAGTAATTATAGGGGTCATAATAATAATAATATTTGGATTCCTCCCTGGCAGTGACCACCGCAGAGAACGCACAAGGAGCATTGGAGCTGTTGGGTCTGGCAGACGGCCAACAAAACTTCGGCAACACCGTAAGAAGCTTCTTCTACTGTGCTTCATTTTTACTCTAAAAATGATATATATATATATATAAACAGAGAGCTTCCATTGAGGGATCCCTCAAATAAGCTTATTTGAGGGACACCCTTTGTAGGGCCCACTCCGGATTGTATTTCACTAATCCAAACCGTCTATTTTGTAGATACACATTCAAAGATCATCTCTACAAAAAATCACTTGAATCCGATATCTTTTGACCATGCAATTGAGTTATTGAAATTTTAGTATTTTCTTGAAGCACCGTGTTCATTGATTTTGTAGGACACAATTGGATGTCGAAACGGTTTCTGATTTGTCTAATTTTTTGTAAGGATGATCTATGAATGAAGACCTAAAAAATAGATGGTTTTGATCATTGGAAAAAAAATTGTAGGGTACCCTAAAGGGCATCTCTCAAATAAAATTATTTGAGGGATCCCTCAATAGAAAGGGACTGATATATATATATATATAATATAAAAATATAAAGAAATTCTTATTAATCTCATCTGCTTTTATTTTTGTGTTTCAGGTTTCAAAGGTAAACCTGATAATCACTGATTACAGTATGCCAGGAATGACAGGGTATGAGCTTCTAAAAAAGATTAAGGTAATTATGCAATTGTTTCAACACAAATATTGCATAACTGGCAGCTTATTTAATTATGAAATTCATGATTAAGTGAATTAACTAATCTAACCCAGCCAACCTAATCTCCCTCTAAACAGGAATCACCAACCGGGAAGGAGATACCAGTAGTTATTGTATCATCTGAGCACATACCTACTCGAATTGAGAAGTAACCCACTTGCACAAGAAATCTCAATTTTTCTTCTTTTTCTGTTTTCTAATCATAGTTATTGATGCCTGAAATTTCTTCATCCGATTGATAGGTGCCTCGAGGAAGGAGCGAAAGAGTTCTTGCTGAAGCCTCTCCGGCAATCAGATGTTAATCAACTGAGAAGTCATTTGATGAAGTTGGGAAACCCTAGTGATGAAGGGATGGTTTGCATGGGAAGATAATCTCCACTATAAAAGACACGGATTTATACAAGAAAAGAATCACAAAGGCTAACAGCAATATACCTATCGATACTTCAAACCTGTTTGATGCATCAGACACTTAGATACATTGTAACCTTGTTAATCTCTTCAAACCCTATTATAATCAGCTTATGATCATGTTTTTTTTATGTAATTGTTCTCACGTACAAGAGATTTAAATTTAAGCATAGTTTGCGCTTCTGCTCCTTTTTGCTGCTGTAATCTATATCTACCAGACTAGTATGATATGCAGGCAGTTGCAAAATCACCTCCTGAACCATATATGGAAGGGCAGGGTGCAAAATCCATGACACAGCTGAAAACGATGTTAACGACGAAATCCCCACATTTATTTAGACTTGAGTCGTGACAAACGTGCTATTTCTTCTTTATGCTAGTCTGGGCAGCTGCCTTCAGCACCTTCTGCACACAAAGAAACTGAACATAGCTCTGAAGCATCATCACCCGACAAGATGAGTCAACAAAATCACCTTGTTGTTTAGTTTCTTTCTTTCTTTCCTGAGGCTCAGCATGTTCCATTTCTGCATTAATAAGTGAATGAAGCAATTAGTATGCGGAAAAAAGGAAAAAAAAAAAAAAATTTGCCCAACCTTACCACTGCATAATGAGAAACAAAAAAGAAGTTAAAAAGACAACTAAGAAAAATAATTACATACCTTTGTTCCGATGTTGACATGGAAGAGGAATTTCATAACCATGGTGATCTCTGGAAACAATGAAAACCTCTAAGTACAAATACAATAGGCTTAAAGACAGTTGGGGAACCAAACATAAAAACTTGAGGGAGAGAAAATACTTAAATGTTTGTGCAACATACTCCTTGTCATCTATTTTGCTTTCAAATTTGCCTGGAGTCTTCAGAGATGATGATGCCTTCTCTGCATGGTCAGGAAAATAGGTTGACTTCACACTTGCCTTTAGTCCTGGAGCTCCATCTTTTGCTTCCTTAAATTCACTGTTCTTGCTCTTCGATGTTAAAGCACCCATTTCATCATTGTTTTCTGTGAACAAACCGTTGTTCATAATACAATTTTCTTCCTCAAGCTTAAATTCTTCGCTGGGCTGGGATTCTGCTTTTCTTCCCTCAACTTTGCTGACACTTTCCTGTGCTGATAAATCAGGAGATGGTGTGTTTCCAGGAGAATAGGGAAACAACTCTGTTTTTGTTGATCCAACCCCTATCTTAGAAGTTGTAGGAGAATCATGAAATTCAAATTTCTCAGTAACAAAACTGCCAGAAGGTGAACTTGCAACAGGTTCAGAGTGTTTAGAAGGAGATCTAGGATCAAGATGTAATTCTGGGACAGGACTTGCACTAAAAGGATCTCCAAACAAGAGCTTCGAGCCTGCAGATGGACAGTTTGTATCTGAATTTTGATGGAAAGAACTGGAAACTGAATTTATATTAACCGACATATATCGCTCCTCAGCAAACCAATTGCTGTTTGGGGTTAACTTTCCATCGAAAGGAGAGTTTGAGTAGTGGGATGGTTTTAACTTTGATGAATTTGACATCCTTGTACATTTTCCTGACCCGTGTGCAATATTCTCTGGGTGAACAACATGTCTGCTTTTGTCATGTGTCTTTCCTGTAGAAGTTACATTTGCATGATATTCTGGTCCAGCATATGCATTGTCATGTCTTCTCTTGCTCCGATTCCTAGTTGACTTTGACAGTGAATTATCAATTGCATTGACTCTCACTGACATCAAAGGTTGGAAAAAGAACAATTTTAGTTTATGAAAATAAGATAATTGCATTGGCAATAACAGAAACTTAATTCCAAATCATCATATTTTCAGTTGATAGATATACCTGCACTTGATGAGCATGATTCTTCGCTGCCAAAAAAGACACAGTAGGTAATGACACATAAGACTATATGAGTCAGAGTAAGAGGTCAGAAAGAAATCAATGTGAAACAAAAGAAAGCCACTAATTACCTTAGCAAGCTCAAATTATCCCTTTCATCAGTCACAAAGCAAGACCAATCTGGTTGGTTGGTTACACCTCCAAAATCAAAACTCCTTCCTACTGTAGGGTGTCTGTATACCGTCACAACAAAACACAACTCTTGAGTTTATATCTACATTACTAACAGAAATTTAGCTCATACAGTAGGCGTACCTTGCCCCATTGGAAATCATAAAATCATGATCATATTCTGATCTTTGGTGCTTGGAATATGAAGGTGCCTCTGATTAGATAGAAGTGATCAAAGCATCAGAAAAAAAAAAAAAAAAAATGAAAGCAAACAATTCCATTCTGTATAAAACTAATATATCAAAAGTTTAGCATGGCATTTCCATGTTAGTCATTACATGGTCTAAGAAATGGTCACAACTTACGAGTTAATAGAATTCTACAGACATAGTTCTAGTGTTTATAGAATTCTACAGGCATAGTTCAAATGAGAGTTTAAGACATAGAGCACCTAAGATGTCAAACTTGTCTGTTATATCTGTTGCAGACCTGTACAGATGCCACAACTCTATCAAGAAGATATAGTATAATTTCTCAAAACAAGAAAAAGAAAAAAGTAGAGATTAATTAAACACCTCAACGGTGAAAAGGGACCTTCAAAAGTAAAATCTGGCATCTTATACGTTCCGTGCATCAAATTATCAACAGAATCACAGTTCATTTCACTTGGCCTCTTCCATGATAAATCATATTCCCATTCATTAAAAGAGGTTTCATCTTGGCAAAGCCTACCTGGTAGACATATAACAAGTCATATCATACCTATATTTGACCCCTATTAGAAGGAAATCACCATAAGTAAAAACAATCAATCTAGTGAGCAATCATTATGTAAATAACAGAAAGCTGACAAATAACTGGTCTCACCCTGGACTCATTAACTTGATACGGAATAAGAAAAAGCATATCTCAGGAAACACTATTCGAAAATTTCATATCATGTTGAATATAATATACACATATACTATTCCCATAACTGAAAGATCATATTTCCACAGTAAAATTTCACCAGAGTTTCACGCACTTGAACCTAGAGACCTAGAATAGATCATTACATGCAGCATTGTCAGATAACTGTTAGGGAATGATTTGTCCAAAAAAAAAAAGGATAACTGTTAGGGAATGGGTCAACACTGCTTATCAAGCTAACAGAAATGATGGTATGTTAGATATCACATTCTGTTGCACTGTGCCATAAGAAGAAGTATTTACCATCCCATTTATCTTTGCTGCAATTTTCAGCATGGTCAAAGATTCTCCTGGATCCATAATAACTATCTAGTTTACCACTGTGACCATCTTGTCTTAATAGTTTCTGCTTTGAATAACCAAATGAATCCATTGAATTGATAGAAAACTCTAAACCACTGCTACATAGGGGCATATTGATATCTTGTATCATTGCATCCTGCATAGCATCAAACTAATCAGCCTCTAAAGTCTCAAACATTGATAACATAAAAAATTTAAAGCCTTGCACCTTTACAGTTCACGACAGATTTAGTTTAGTTAACGGAAGAGAATCAACAAGTACTTGGACTGATAAAAACAAGAAGTTTTGTCTAGACTAATGTGTACCATTCCGACATATAATCAAATATAATTGAAGCAGCATAAACTATTTCATATACCAAAAGATTCTTCGTGAACAAGATGCTCAAGACCTCTGCTAGCATCTCTCATTGAAGTTTCCATGTTAGGGTGTTAATGAAATTTTCTCCATTACATTTTCTATAATGTGTCTTTCGTCGCAGCCTTTTGCCACTTGTACTTAGAAAGTTAGCCTACTATGTAGTCACTTTTGTGGCTCAAGTTAACAAAGAAAACCCTGTAAACATCTTCCTCACAGCTAAAGATTATTACAGTAGAATCTTACCCTGCCTCCTACTGCAGGCAGTTCAAATTGCATTGCAACATTTTATATAAAGCATTGTGTGTGGCTAACAATCCATAATCAAAGAGAACCAGGATTCTAAACTTAAGGAGCATTAGTACTTTGGATGCATTAAACCAGCGGCTGCTTTCTCATCAATCACATTTTAGGGAAGAAGCACAAATGCACTGATACCCACAGTAATCAAATGACGTATTACGACCCAATATATTCCTAGAAATACCAATTAATGCCCACATACATTAGGAGGGAGCATGGTAGCTCTTTCAACATGAAAGCTTTAGAAGGATCATGTACAAAAAGATTCTAAACAAGGGTGAATATATCAAGGAGAAAGGTAATAATCCTTCTACCAATAAGTTATTTAGAGTTACAGTTCATGGACTTGTTGAAATACACTATATTAACTCAATTAATAATGCCTCTCACCATTTCAGTTTCAAAATCATCCAGATTCTTATGGTTCTTGAATGATTTTGGTTGCCTTGCAGCATTCAACGGCGAGGAGCAATCATAGGTGAATGTTCTATAATCACACAAGTTTAAGCCATTGTGCAGATATAGTTAGAATCTTCTTGTTAAAACCTCACTTTGCACAGCATTGCTATAAGATTTTTGTTGGTATTTAAGTAAAAGGTTTTTATGAAATTGGTGAATGCCATTTCATGGGAAATAAAAATACTTGAGTTCTGCAAGAAGTGTTGTCCTAGGTTGTAACAAAATAGCTGACAGAACAGTAGTTAAGGATAGTTACCTTGCCGGCTGTTTTGGTGAATGGACTGGTGTTTCCATTCCCACTTTACCCAAACCTGATAAGTAAGAATGACAGTGAAGAAATTTATAAAAGTCAGGAAAAAATTGGTCGATAATAATTACCATAGCCCAAAAGGTTCATTAAGAAGGGTTAGAAATTACATCATGTCAATTGTTTGGCAAAACAAATTTAAGAAACATCTATTTTTCGTTTCTTTTCTTAAATGGCAAGTAAAGAAGGAACTGTAAGCTATGACAACTTCTGAGATAGCAACAATCATGAGAAGGCATAACATGTAAGCTAACATCAGAAAACAAAACAGATGCCTTGAAATTTGTCTCCAAGACAAGATATGCTAATTTCCTGACCAAATTAAGAGTTTCTTTATCCTCTAGCTTAGTAATTGTCCGTTTTACTTCCAGAGACTTGGACAGAACCTTATGAAGAAACTCTACCATTTAAATTGAGCTTTTACTGATGCATTATAAAGGAAACCGCAAACTATGAGCAACTCAATGGTGGAACAGAATTACCTTCAACTGAAAATGCAACATGAGCTTCATGTACTGGGCTGCCTTCTACATAGTCATTCAACCCATCATCGCCAAAAAAATCAACTACAGAAAACTCTGAAACATAAGAAGGAAAAAAGTTCATAAAGAAGAAACTTCAATACTCAGAGGTGTATATAATGAACTATAACAACAAGGAAGGAAGTGACTTTCAAGGCACCATAACCAAAGTTCTACCAACAACCAACTTATAAGCTCATTTAGCAAGCTAAATCCGTAAGGAAAGATACATGGAAAGTGTTCAAGGCTGTATTGGATGCTTTTCTACTTACGCTGGTCAGCACCTGTCCTGCAGTTATCTGGTTGAGAATTAATTTCATTGAAAGACTTGTTATGATTAGGTATAACCCTGAAATGAAGAAGGTATATCAAATCTCCACAAGACAGGATGCACTATGGCAAAACAATCACTGATAGAAGCAACTATGCACCCATTTGTGAAGATTTATAATCAATTTACCAGCAAACAGACCGGAGTCTATATGTGCAAAGTGAATTGACTGTATAATGAAATCACTTTGACCTAAGTGGCTTGCATTCATTTAGTCCGTTACAAGTAAAAATATGGCTTTTCAATGAGTGTGAGGCAAGGATGATATTCCACAAAAAGTACAAGCATGCACAGACACATCACTCACTTTTTTGGTGATGCAATCTCCTCTCGGAAGCCTGATTCAGCTCCTGTATCATCATATATCACTAATTCATTAAAACATATTTTATCAATTTTATAAGCACAGAAAGATAGGTTCAGGTAAAAAATCTGGGTGGGGGAAAGTGGGGATGGGGAAGAAAAAGGCCCCAAAAGTTAATAAGATGAAATAGAAAGCATACTTGCTTGGTTAAATTCAACAGAGTTGAGAGGAGCAACCATCTTTGGAGGTATTGTTGGTGGATCCTTTGTGATATCATACTTCATTCTTGAAGCATTGACTTCTACATCTTCCCTTCCTTATATGGTAGGAAAAGTAGAAAAAGAGGGAAAGATAACATAGTTTATTATTTCAGAAGAACCCCTTGGAAGAAAGATTATAGCCGAAAAAGGAAGATAAAAGAATCTGTCTCATACATTCAACAACCACTTCAATGACAAAAAATTGTGATTTACATCATAGCTTAATTTCAATTTTCAACAACTGCCGACATAACAGGAGAGAACTAGTGACTATCTGAATTTTCTAGATATTAGAAACTTACGACTGGGGCAAGCAGATTTATGTTCTTGAGCAGTCGTTGACAAGTTCAGAAAACTGAGAATATCCAATGACCGATGTTCTTTGTGATGTTGCCCAGATATGTTTATTCCATCTGCATAGCTCTCTAACCCAGTTGTTTGCCCCTGATGCTGTTGTTGTCGTCTTCTTTGTTCAAAGTATTGCTTTTGCCTTGACAATTAAAGAATGGTCAGAACATGTTGATACTAATTATGCATCTGATGCTATAAATTTCTTTTTAACTACATGAGTTGAAAATTTGTATTGGTAAAGAAAATTCTTTTGTACCTCTGCTGTGTAGACTTCCTCGACTGAAGTTTCCCCAGTGCAACCAAGAGGTACCATGTATGAAACAAACGCTAACATGTCAGAACAAACTTTCAACATCGCGTTCTCTAAATCCAGGATAGCAATTCAATGTAGCAAAGCCTATAACATATGCACTTTACTAATATACCAGTATAAACTATAACTCATACTTACAGTTGCTACTTTCCGCCTCGATCCTCCCATCCATTGCAACATTTTGAAGATGCAATCTGAAATTTCACTCCCAGGGATTAAAGTGGAACATTCAGCAATATCAGAAGCGCTATTTGGGGAAAATACACAAAGTCTCAAAATTCAAAAATAGCGAGGAAAACATAAACCCTGAAATTGAGCCCATCGACGATTAAAAAAATGGACACAAAACATGCAGATAGAGAGAGAGAGAGAGAGGTTGAAATAGAGCTGCAATCACACAATCGCACACTCAAGCAACCATTTATTTTGCTGTATTTGCAGCAAAAGGTTTACCTGTAGAACTCGGAATTGGTTGAAGAGAAAGCAAGCAACAACTCAGTAGTTTGGAGATTTTGCTTTTGATTTTGAACGAAAATGAAGGTGATGACGATGATGGTAGACTAGTGGGTTGAAGCAAGCGGACTGTAAATTTGTCTTCAGCTTCGCTCTAGGCTTTGTTTTTCTTTCACCCGATTTTTCGTATAAAGTTCAAGAGAGTTATTTTTGGCGCGTCATCAATGAAATGCACGATCGCCATTTGTGAATCTCATATGGGCTGGGTTGGGCTTTTTTTATTACAAATTTATAAATAAACTCAATTTTAGACATGTATTTATAAAAAAAATTCAAATACTATTTAAACATAAAAACACACTCAAAATCAACTCCAAAATCAACAATTGTATATTTTTTGAGTGTGTTTATAAATAGATTTTAAGTGTGTGTAATGATGGGTTTTGGGTGTGTTTATAAAGTGTTTTGGGTATTGGGTTTTTTTATAATTTTAGCTCTCATTTTGGGTGTTTTAGTGAAATTATCTTTTTTTATTCACATAACTGAGACCAACACTGTTTTCTTTTTAAAATATTTAAATCGTATAGCCGCGCGGCTATGCTATGGATTTTTTTGTCATTGATCGTATAGCCGAGCGGCTATACTATTTTAAAAATATAATATGGCCACCTAGGGGCCCGCGAGTGGTAGGCAGATCTTTTTTTAGTAGAGCCGGGCGGCTATACTTGGCAATACTGTGATGCTTTTTCTGATAAATAGTATAGCCAGGCGGCGATACTATTTTAAGGGGGCCCCAAGAGGATATTTTTTATAATAAATAGTATGGCCGCCCACCTATACAATTTTTTTTTATATATAAAAAGATCACCCCGAGGCGGCCGCCTAGAGCTAGGCGGGTCGGTTATTTTTGTAATAAATCGTATAGCCGCACGGCTATACAGTTTTAATATATTATATTTAAATCATATAGCCATTCGGCTATACTGTGGTCTTTTTTTTTTTTGGATAAATAGTATAGCCATTCGGCCCAACTGGTTCCCTATTTTTTTTTTTAAATAATAAATCGTATAGCCACTAAAAATGAATAGTATAGTCGCTAGGCTATACTGTGATCTTTTAAAAAAATAAATAAATAGTATAGCCGCTCGGCTATAATAGGTTGTTTACTTTTTAATAAATAGTATAGCCGAGCGGCTATAATCTTTAAATATACACTGGTTCCTTCCAAGATTATAGACGACCGGTCATCTGAATTTTGGTCCACTAAATTAGGCCTGGAGAGGGTGCCTTTTTTCTGTAAGTTATCTTTTCTCCAAGGGAACTGAACCTAGAAACCTTAAGCTAAAACTGAACCCAAATTAGGCCTGGAGGGATTTGATCTAGTTTTGTTAATTGCTTCATTTTCAAACATTGGAACAGGTGAAAGTGCAGAAGGTGCAGTCATTCCGAAGATGGCCTCAGATCTTCTTAATTTGAGCTATTGACACACATTAATCAACACAAGAAATGCATAATATATATCATTACCTTCCTTTTCTCATATAGTAATTGATGGGAGAGATCTAAATGCAACAGATGTTGAAGGGTGTGTGTTGCAAAGTCTGGTGTATTTGGCTCGAGAAAAGAGACCCCATATATCACCAGAACTTCAAAGCTGTCGCTATGAATGCATCGGTAAACTAGTAGAAAGAAACTTAGTTTCATTCCGAGCTATATTTTTGGTAATCTTTTCTTTGCTAGAGAGACCAAGAAGGTGCTTCCAAAACGATCAAGAATTCGTGTTTTTGTTGATACTGCAGAAATTTCCGTCATTCAACGTTATTTTTTTATGTGATCCTTTGTGCTGCAGAGAAGGGTATCTTCAAACATTAGCAATGGGCAGGTCCTTCTTAATCTAGACTGTGATATGTATTCAAACAACTCTCAGGCCACAAGGGATGCACTTTGCTTCTTAATGGATGAACCACAATTTCGAAAACGTTACTAAGAATGAATTATATAGCAGTTCATTAGGAGTAATCAGTGAGGTGAGCAGGCATTCGTGAAGTCATATGATGGTGGAGTTGAACTTATTTAAGTGAAGTTTCATGCTGTTTAAAAATTTATGGCTGACATGTTGGGAGTTCTCTGTTTGTGGGAATTGAAGGTGGAATTCCGTGGTTTGGTTTGGATGGTTCTCTATATATTGGAAGTGGCTGCTTTCAGAGGAGATACTCTTTGTGGGAGGAAGTTCATAAAGGGATGTAAGAATGAAATGAAGTGGGAGATTAGTAGAAAAAGAGAAGAAAATGGCATTCATGAATTAGAAGAAAATTGAAAAGTCTTGCATGCTGTGCAATTGAAGAGAACACTGAATGGGGAAAGGAGGTCTTTATTTCTCTCTCTATTGTACACACACACACACAAGTGTACAATAGTTTGAGCTTGATGAATCTCTATAATTTGCAGATAGGTTTGAAATATGGCTGTCCAGTTGAAGATGTGATCACTGGGCTATCAATCCAATGCCGCGGATGGAGATCAGTGTATTGCAATCCCACAAGGCAAGCTTTCTTAGGAATAGCTCCAACCGCACTGTCTCAAGACACTTGTGCAGGTTTTGCTTTCTAAATACAGCCCTGCATTGTATGCACATGGAAAGATTGGTTTAGATCTTCAACTTGGATGCTGTTGCTACTGCTCCTGGGCTCCAAATTCCTTGGCAACCTTATTTTACTCAATTATCCCTTCGCTTTACCTCCTTAGAGGCGTTTCATTATTTCTGCAGGTATGGTTCCTCTGTCATTCTTATTAATTTGTGTGTCAACCTCACATAATATTTTCTCTTTTTTCAATGTCTGCAATAATAAGTTTTGTTTAGTCAATGTAGGTCTCAAGCCCTTGGCTCATACCATTTGCATATGTGATATTTGCCAAGTACACTTGGAGCTGTGTGGAGTTTCTGTGGTCTGGTGGTACAATCTCAGGTTGGTGGAATGACCAACGTATATGGCTTTACAAGAGAACAAGTTCCGTATGTGGCTTTACAAGAGAACAAGTTCCTACCTGTTTGCCTTCATTGATACCATTTTAAACTCCCTCGGATATTCTGATGAAGATGTTTCACATAATTACGAGAAAGAGGTAATGGAATTTGGAGCCTTGTCTCCAATGTTTACCATACTGGAAACACTTGCATTGCTCAATTTGTTCTGCTTTCTTGGTGTTGTAAAGGAAGCAATCATGGGAGAAGGCATGACAAAAGTTTATGAGACAACGACTTTGCAAATTCTTCTGTGTGGGGTTTTGATTCTCATCAACCTACCATTGTACCAAGCCCTTACCGAAGGAAGGACAAGGGAAAGATGCCGAGCTCCATAGCCTTTAAATCAATGGCATTTTCTGTATTTGCATGTATATGCTTTAGATATTTGTATTGAAAAAGGTTTCTTTATTGACCATGATATAAAATGTCATTGCCATAAAATAGAATCTTTCTTCAGGGAGCATTGCTACTAACTTGGGTTCCCAAATGAGATATAGTCTCTACCTTTTGTCTGCTTCGAATTCCTTTTTCAAATTTGTATTATGTCTTTGTTCTTCCTCTTTGCTTGCTCCATGGCATTCCCTTGTTAAGCAAATTGTGTCCTGCAGTATGGCACCCTACTGTTTCATCCTACAATTACCAATTATTAAGAAGGAAGAAGATACATCATTATTAGGCTAACATTCAATCATTAAGAAGGTTATTCATTACTGTTCATGTGTCAAGCCTTGTTCCTTGCATTTGCTTACGCTTTTGTTACCAAGTATGCTTTCAGCACAATTGAAGCCTTGAGATGACGGACTGCATTCAAATGATGGCGGAACGTATAAGGAATGAAGCAATTAAGGCTATGTCAAACAGATTTTTCATCACTAATAAGGTGGTCACCAAGGATATGTCAAAGGGGCATGAGCTAGAGGTTATCCAGATTGTGTTGCTAAATTGCCTGCTGCTGATGCTTCACTTCTTCTGTCTTGGGTTCCTGCTGTGTGTGCGCCTTGTACTTGTTTTGTCATCCTTGCCGAATCAAGTTTATTTTAGGTTGGTTTGATTAGGTCTCTGTTGCTATTTTGCTGCTAGAACTATCTTCTTTTTTTGTCTGAGCTGCTAGAACTATCTTGGTTCTTCTTCTTCCTGTGTTTCTGCAGATTTTTCTTATTGCTGATTATATTGGTTTTTAACTCGTTTGGCTGGTAACCTTTTCACGCTTTGTTTTTTAAGTTGCTAGTATAGCCGCGCGGCTATACATTTTAAAATAATAAATTTAAATAGTATAGCCGCTCGGCTAGACTGCTTAAATATATTATAATAAATAATAATAAAAAATAGATATATAATTATATAATTATATCTATAAACTAAGAAAATCCCTTCGGCCCCTCTCCCTGGCAAGCAATTCGTCCTGATCCCTTGCGTCCACATTTGAATCATTTGAGTTCTGATCTCTGTCGAGGAGTCCTTGAAGTTTCAAAATCAATTGTAATGAATATATTTATAATATCTCTTAGGGTGACAATACGTGCAAGACTGGTACTCTATTTATTTTCATTTTGTCCTGCTTCATTTCTTACAAGACTGAAAAACCAAAACTAGTCCAAATACTATTTGTCCATTTGGAAGCATGCAAATCCACTTTGACTATCTTTTCCTCACATATTCCATTCACATTGGACGGAGCCGCTGACTTTGCCATGACATCATTAATCTTAACATCGACTAGCAGCTATAAATATTTCTGCAGTTTGATTTGAAGCATTGTTATTAAGATGGAGGACAAAGTGGTGCTTTTGGATTTTTGGCCAAGCTCTTATGGGATGAGAGTGAGGATCGCTTTGGCTGAGAAAGGGATCAAATATGAGGCCAGGGAGGAGAACTTGGCAGACAAAAGCCCTCTGCTTCTAGAGATGAACCCCCTTCACAAGATGATCCCTGTTTTGATTCACAATGGAAAACCCATTTCTGAATCCCTCATCCTTCTCCAGTACATTGATGAGGTTTGGCATCACACGTCTCCCTTGCTCCCCTCTGACCCTTATCAAAGATCCCAAGCAAGGTTTTGGGCTGACTATATTGACAAAAAGGTTAGTCAAATATATCACATTAATTGTCGTCAATATTAATAATGTTTTTAAGCAGTGCTAGCATAAGTCGCATATGAGCACGCAGACTCACTGTAAAATGCGTCACGCGCGACTGACGCGAGCATTTTCCATGATATTTTACGTTATCAGATTGCCATTATTACACTTCACATAAAAATCTACCATGTAATTGGGCATGAAGTAGTACATATTTCTAATGCAATATTGCGGATGGGATGTGCAAAACGCAGATATACAGCCTGGGCAAGAGAGTGTGGAAGGAAAAAGGGGAAAAGCAAGAGGCAACAAAGAAGGAATTCATAGAAGGTTTGAGAACCATAGAAGGTGAGCTTGGAGACAAGCCTTATTTTGGCGGAGAAGACTTTGGGTTTGTGGATGTGGTGCTTGTTCCCCTCACCAGCTGGTTTTATTCCTTTGAGATCTGTGGGAATTTCAGCATAGAGGCTGAATGTCCCAAGCTTGTTGGTTGGGCCAGAAGGTGCATGGAGAGGGACAGTGTGTCCAAGTCACTTCCTCACCCTCAGAAAATCTATGCTTTTGTCTTGGAACTCAAGCAGAAATATGGGTTGTGAATTACAGATACCAATCAATCAGAATAAGAATTTGTCACAGAGAGTTGATTGGGTTGTTTGTGTGGTTGCACTTCACTATATTTTTCACATGGTGTACTATTACAATTGCAATAAAACATAAATAAGTTCCCTAAATCATTGTTTTCTTTTATTTGGGCTCAATAAAACACACAGTTGATTGAATCGAGTTACCTGTAACATAAATATATTTACAAATAAACCAATTTTATGACCGATAAATTAACCTCTTGAATTTACATGTGACGTATAAGTTAGCCTCTTTCGGACTTCATTAGGAACTACACCCTTAACTAACTTTTGTTCAAAGATATTTGTATGTACAGTCTCCATACCTCATGATTCAATTCAACCATATTTTCCATAAACATAGAAATTGTGAATATTGAGGGAAAAGAAAGAAAAAAAAAAGGAAAGAAAATATAAATAGAAAACCTGTAGTGTATCTCTCACCCCAAAAAGTTCCAGTATTGGGCCCTGCATATGTAATCCAAAATGTCCAGAGGGCCAACAAACAAACATCAAACCGAACCCGAGGGCAGTCTCGTTAATTCACAGGAAACACCCGTGGTGTTTTAGTAATTTTGGGACCTTCAAGAGCGCAGAAACCCTAACTGACTGGCCTCTCCAAATCACCTATAAATAGCGGAAGAAGAGCAACCCATTCACCGCGGCTGAGCCGAGCGTAGTTCTTTCATTTTGTGATTCTTATATTTTCTGTGTTCAATGTTTGATTGAATCTCTGGAGAGCCTTCTTCTGCTTTTGATTTTTTTATTTAAATTTTCGAGGTGTTTTTTTATATATTTATTGTTTTGATATTGGATCCGTGCACAATAAGCCGATGCTCTGGATGAAAAAGTAATGAAGGAAGCATGGTGATGTGCACGGAAATTGAACAACTTTGGGTCCGCATGTCTGCTCTCTCTGATTCTCTCTGATTTGAGGGCCTGGTTACGACCCACATCATCTCTTCTTTTTCTCAATCTCTTATTTCAATCTGTTTTTTTGTTTTGAATCTCGAAATTTCTGGTTTTTATAATTTCCTTGGGTTGAAATCGTCAATATCTGTCGAATAATGTGGTTTGAAGAATGCCAGAACCACGCAGCACGCTGCAAATGTTTGTTGGAACAAAAATATGATGAGATGTTTGAATTTTCCAGTGGTGGTTGATCAACAAAAATATGATATAAAGAACTGCCAGGAACAAAAACCTGAGAGGAATCCTGTAGTTTCCACTTGCAGTGTAAAACGTCAGTTCACAGAACATGGAAGAGAAACAACAAAATGCGTTCCATGTTAATGGATTGGAAAAAAAATACAATAAAAACTTGCGGCAGGACGCAACAAGTTGGGCAACTACAGGGTTTTATAAATAAAAAAAATTAATAGTAAGGAAAAGAATTGTCCAATGAAGACTTTTTCAATACTAGCCCAAAAGGTTGGGACAATTTAAATCCGCGACATGACTTATTCCAGCGCTTGAAAATGGATCATCTTACATGATTGGAATCACTTCTGATTATAAGCGTTTCTGTTATAAATATGACAAACTTGTTACTAAAAATTCACAAGTGATTCTTGAAAAACTATTTAGAAGTGCTTTTGAAAAAAGTTAAGATGATGCGGGTAAAAATGGAGAAATCATCTGAACAATAGGGCCGTTATGTTTATTACTAAACTTGTTGAAAAGAGGAAAGGTAAAGGGTCATTGAAAGAAGAATTAGGCAAAAAATTAGGAGGTACTTGGGGTTGACCAATGGTTGGGTGATGGGCATGATCTATGCCAATGCCAAATTCAAGCTAGAGTGGCTGATTGGACTTGATCAAGATTGATCATGTGCATTCCTACTAGTTTTGAGGGGTTGGTGGAGGGAGCAATCGTGCATTTGATGGCTGATCACCAATGTCGACTTAAAATTTAAGTCAGGTTGTGTGACATATGGAATGTGCCCAGTTGGATTTGATGCAACACTAAAAATATGGCAACTATGAACTCAAATTTGTTAGGTGAGGCATCAATTTAGTTGAGTTAATCTCCATGAATCATACTGCGTGGTGTCTGCTCAATGTAGGTTAGGTTGAGCTAATAAATTGTGTCATAGCCAGCCACATGTCCTGTCCTATGGTTCAAAATTAAGCACATGGATGGAGGGGTTGGTAGCACAGAAACTCTTCAAACCTTGAAAAAGAGGTTTATAAAAATAAAAAATAAAACTCCAAGCCATGATGAAAGAAAATGAAAATACTTTATTGAAAAGTCTTAAAAGTTCCACTAAATTTACATTGTCACACAAACCCCACATTTTAATTATCATATTAATCCATCCACTTATGACATAATCAAAATCATCATCCTCACCAATTACATCTATGCCCTTGGCTTCAACACAATGGTAGAGTGCTTCAAAATGTGCAAGCTGAACTGCCCACCTTTCTCTGTGGTGTCAAGCTTGGACTGTCCTGGAGGAGGCAAGAGCTCAAAGTTCTGGACTAAACGTCCCAAAGTGATCCCAAGGATTGGCAGGGCCAAAATAATCCCTGGACAGCTTCTTCTCCCAACACCAAATGGAAGGTACCTAAAGTCATTGCCATTGGCCTCAACCTTGGCCTCTTCCTCCAAAAACCTCTCTGGCCTAAACTCCTCAGGCTTCTTCCAGAGGGCAGGGTTGTTTGCCAGCCACCATGCATTCACCAGGATCTTGCTCTCCGCTGGAATGTCGTAGCTGCCCAGCTTTGCATCGTTGAGGTTCATGTGTGGGACAAGCAATGGGATTGCCATGCGAAGCCTGAGAGTCTCTTTGACCACAGCTTGAAGGTAGGGAAGCTTCTGGGTGTCTGGCTCTGTGATTTGAACACCAGGGCCAAGCACTGAGTCAAGCTCATCCCTCAGCTTCTTTTGGATCTCAGGGTGGTTCACAAGCTCTGCAATCCCCCACTCAATTGACCATAGTGTTGTTTCAATTGCTGTTGATCAAAAAAATATATTAGACTCTGATTTATCTGTAACAAGTTAGATAAGTCATTAAAATTACAGAGAGTAAAGTTTCTGCACATATATCAGACTCTGATTAATCTGTAGTGTCCAAATGGAAAGTGAGTTGGCAGGTCAATGTCACAAGGGTTGGCAGGAAGAAAGTGGATTGTACATGAAATGAAGTTTAACTAATGTAGAGGATAAGATGTGTATGTTTCCATCATTATAAGGAAACCCAAGAAAGTTGCTGGGTTATATGTATTAACATTGAAGCCACATGTTTTGTTCACCTAGACGCACCTAATAAAGTGGATTTGACATATTCAGATTTAAACAAATATTTATCACCTAACCTGAAAAGGAATCATGTCACGATGCAGGACGACCAATGGTTTGGGTTAAACTAGAGTTGAAAATAACTTAAATACTTAAAATGAATTCTAAGTTGGTGTTGAAATAATCAATTTTGTCTTATAACTAAGATATTATGGGGTTCGAACTTAAGACTTCTAATCTGCATGTCAATTCACTTTTTCACTCGACTAGACCCGTTAATGTTTTAACTTCGATTTAAATAAAACCTAGGATTAACTATTGATATATGTAATATTATTTGTAAGAAAATATAAAATAAAAGAGTGTGGAAGAACAGGTCAAAAAATTTATCCTCACAATAAACACCGGCGACAAGGGCACCGAATTTCGCAGGCTTGCAATTATGAACGGTAAGTTTTATAGGATTTATTTTTTGTTTGTTCTGCATAAATCATGTGAAAATTTTAAGAGAAGCGCCATTGGCATTTCCCATAATAACCTCTCGAAAAAATTGGGTAAAGCAGTAAAATGCATGGCACTGTGTTGCTGCGGTAAAAAATAGGAGACTAGGAAAGTGAGGGCCCCACTTACCAGCAACGTTGATATTCTCGACGATGTAAAGGACGTTGTCCTCGTTGATCTCTCCCTTCTGCTGAGCGTCCAGGATATGGTCGATGGCGCACTTCAGTCCTTCATTTGTTGTCGTTTTTGTGCTTGAAAGTTTCCTGCTCAACAATTAAAATCAAATTTCATTTTAGATCTAATCAAATATTACAAATTTATAAATAAACCTAATTCTAGACATGTATTTATAAAAAAATTCAAACACTATTTAAACATAGAAACACACCCAAAATTAACAATTGTATATTTTTTGGGTGTGTTTATAAATGGGTTTTGAGTGTGTGTAATGATAGATTTTGGGTGTGTTTATAAAGTGTTTTGGGTGTTGGGTTTTTTTTATAATTTCAGCCCCCATTTTGGGTGTTTTAGTAAAACTCCCATAAAATATTCTATAAAAATAGAAAACTTCACATATTTTGAAAGTCGAACAACAAAATTTCCATTAGACCCAAAAAAGGAAACTATTCATAGTAGTCATGCTACTACCGTTGTATATTTAACTATCTAATTACGTCACGTATTATAATGTCATCTACACTATCAGTTTGTCATTCTTATTCGTTTCCTTTTCAATGCAGGACGACAAATTGGAGTTCCAGTAGCAGTTTTCTTTTTATCTTTTACTAATTAGACACTAATGTTTTTCAACATAAATAATAAAAATGAATTAAGTAAAAAAAAAATTCTTACTTCCGTTCATCAACAAAGTAGTCCTTGAACAGCCGAATTCTCTTCTCCTTGACCTCTTTGCAGATCTTCAAGTAGCCTCTCAAGAAGGGTCTCAAAATGGGGATAAAATCTCCATAATTGTAATCGAAGCTCTGAGCCAATCGGCTTCTCTCCCCATTCAACCCCTTGAGCTTCATAAACAGAGGATCCTCCTCGCTCTCGAACCTCCGATCGAACATAATCCGGTACATGTTGTTGTACATCATCAGCTGCAACCGCCTCCGCAGCACCATCCCATTGGTCGCAGACCCCGGGTACTTCTTCACGTCCTCAACCACCGCCGCTGCCTCCGATTCCCAGCCGTGCCTATACTGCTGGACGACCTTGTTAGTGAAGAAAGGAACGGTCATGATCCGCCTCATCTTCCTCCAGTGCTC